TACCGTATTTTTGCATTTTATAAGGCTACTTAAAATCACCCATCTCAGCAAACAAATATGGGGATTCAGTTCCACTATATGGCCATATTGCGTTAAGCCCATCACTACTTCACAGTACCGCAATATCGGTACTAATATTGGGTACTGTATCTCCATATTTGCTGAGAGAGGTGATTTTAAGTAGTGTTATAAAATGTAAAAATTTATTTTTATGTGTGTGCGGTTCCTTAGTCTGTATTTTTTTTGGTCATTACATCAGTATCATTCCTGCAAGATACATGTTCCGGGTGTGCCCCTAATTCCGTTTTGTCTTTACTATGCGAGTTCAGAATCCAGACCAAATTCCTTTTGGGTTGAGCAACCCACCTCGCACCCCAGCGTCACAGGCCTCTTTGGAGGTGACCACAGGTAATATTTGAGGAGGTTAGGTAAAGTAATGTTACTTTTATTATAATTTTCATGGAGCAGATATCTGATATGCATTGTGAGTGTATAAATCAAAGCACTATCACTTGAATTGTTTCATTTTGACACCGCATGTTTTTTAAAATTGCGTTTATCACATTATATTTGCATTATATATATATTCACAATGCTCTTACAACAGATTTAGACACACTTTGGCTTGTTTAGCACTGTCTAATTTGTCTCCCATGTTGGACTTAGTGTATAAGCCACAGATATTGGGGTACTGTAATGTAGTGGTGGACTTAACACAATGTGGCCATATGGTGGAACTGAATCCCCAAATTTGTTTGCTAAGATAAATGCTTTTAAGTAGCCTGATCAAATGTAAAACTGTACTTTTATGTGTGTGCTGTTCCTTATTCTGTATCATGTATGAATTTTGCTCTCTACAGAAGCACCATTCCTGCAAAATGCATGGTCCGGGTGTGCCCCCAATTCCCTTTTTGTTTTTATCATGTATTCTTGCACATACCTCCCAACATTTCAAAAAGAGAAAGAGGGACACGATCCAACCAATGAAACAATAAAACTTTCAAGAACCGTTGAGGATGTGTACACATATACAGAGCTGGAGCACCCATTAGCAAAGGCACTGGCTCAGAGCAGGGGCTGGGAGCTTCCGCTCTGAACTGGCCCTTCTTAAACTGTCAACTTCATTGAGAGAGAATTGTGGTCTGTGCCAATATCAGGTAGTGGTAAGTCCTTGCGCTTCTCGATGGCTCAGAGTGCCATAGCCGGTTTTCTGAATCATTGACTGAGCGCTGGAACCATAAGGGCACTCTTACAGTGGTCTGCACCTTATAATGGTACAGACAATGGAGCTCCCCCACCCAGCTCACCTGCACTGGACGGACATGAATCCTGCTCACACTCCACAGGAAGGCCAGGAAAATAAGAGGGAGAAACATACTCAAAAACACAACACTCAGCTCACCTCATACAGCTCTTAGCCTCCTCCACACTCAACACTCGGTTCTCACAGGGGAAGGGCCCGTAGGGGATATCAGGAGGACAGCCACTAGAGCTGCAGTGTTTTACATTGCTGGGTTAAAACTGAAGGGCCATCATACGCAGGTAACTTTATTGAGATGAAGTGTTGGGGTGCATTTATTCAGACATCCCAACATGCAAAAACTATTTTCAGAGAGGTGGCTGCACCCACATCCCCAAACACATTACAACTATTTACACACACTATTAACACACGGACACATACACACATTGACACACAGATGTACACACATTAGCACACACACTGGCATATACACAACAGATCTACTCACTGGCATATAAAGATAACTTGACACACAGACACATGCACTGGTGCATACACACACAGATTCCCACACATAAATGCACACACACTCAGAAACACAGACTGGCACACACAGATACAAACTAGCACATACACACAGATACACACACTGGGATATACACACAGATACACACTGGAACATACACACACTGGCATATACACTCAGATACACACACTGGCACAAATGCATAGATACACACTGGTACATACACACACTGGCATATACACATTAGTACATGCACATAGATAAACACACACACTGACATACATTGCAGCCATACCTTAGCTTACCTTTTGGGTCCTAGAAGGTGGCTTGCTTGGGGTCTGGGCTGAGGCTGATGGGATTGAGCATGTAGCTGCTCACTCCAGCTTCTCCATGCTGCCTGTGGTGGTGCGACCTCGAGGCTCCTCCTCCTTCCTCCTGCGCTCTGCTGTCTTTTCCCAGCCAGCAGATACTGCAGGGCCCGTTTATACCCATTGGGGGGAAAATCTGTAGGGGGCATTTAGCATATATAATATTCTGGAAATCTGACGTACATTGTATGCCAGATTGTGTGTGTGATTTCCGGGATATTACATATGATATGCAGGTGTGAGAGGGCCGCATTAAATATGGGGGGGTGTCCTGGAACTACCAGGAGACTTGGGATGTCTGATCTATTGGTCCTTTAAAGACACATTACTGTGTGTATTATTGCTGTAGAGCTCTGGTATAAATTCAGACACAAAAACTCACAGGGTTATTCACTAACATGAGAAAAAGTGATGTCCAAAGAAGCTGAATTGGAAAAATTCTCCCACTCAGTTATGAACGCAGCTCGGCTACTTTGATCCTAAATTTGAAATTCAGTTTGAATTTCTAACAATTCTCACTTCAGTCCATAACCCTGCAAAAGTAGAAACCTGTTGGTTCTTATAAAAGAGGAACATCAGAATAGAAAAGGGGGGCAAAATGACTGTTCCTCCTGAGTGGGAACAGTTAGAAGGTATGCTTACCACAAATTTGTCACCTATAGAAGGTATATTGCTGTTTTGTTTATTCACATATGTAGGAATTGTTGGGGTTCACAACAAATTTCAACATTTAGTCCAAAATAGCTGAATAGAATGAATTCTCCAAGTCACCTATGTTTTTTTCACTGTAGCAATTTTGGTTAAAAAAATTCAATTTACACTTTCTATTACTATTTAACCCTGCCAATCTCATTTAAAAAGGAAACAAAATAAACCTACAATATACGAACAGGAAACAATTTACGAGCTTCAATGTAGCATTAAACATTAAAAATAACCCTTGCTTCTTTTATAGAACCAACAGTTATTTTTACTAAGCAGAACGAATTCTGAACAAAAACAGCAGGCACTTAAAGACACAAGGCATTTTTTCTGCTGCTTGCAATCCCTCTACATCAATCTGAAAAGACAGAATGAAGTTTTCTTAGGGCCACATAGCACCACATGAAAAAGAATCTACTGTGCATCAGGGGATTAAATCAAAGGACTTGTTCCTTGTTCTGTGGGTGTGTAATATATAATATACAACCTCATGACAAAAAGGACTCTATTTTTTTATTTAAAGGACCACTATAGTGCCAGGAAAACATACTCGTTTCCTGGCACTATAGTTCCCTGAAGGTGCCCCCACCCTCAGGGTCCCACTCCCGCCATGCTGGATGGAGAGAAAGGGGTTAAACACTGACCTTTCTCCAGCGCCGGGCTCCCTCAGTGCTGGAGACTCTCCTCCTCCTTTCCCCGTCATCGGCTGAATGCGCATGCGCGGCAAGAGCCGCGCGTGCATTTAGCTAGTTTCATAGGAAAGCATTTTTAATGCTTTCCTATGGACGCTGGCGTCTTCTCACTGTGATTTTCACAGTGAGAAGCGCGGAAGCGCCTCTAGCGGCTGTCAGTGAGACAGCCACTAGAGGCTGGATTAACCCTAAAGTAAACATAGCAGTTTTACAGCAGAAAGGGTTAATCCTAGGTGGACCTGGCACCCAGACCACTTCATTAAGCTGAAGTGGTCTGGGTGCCTATAGTGGTCCTTTAACAAATAAAACTTTTTTTTTTAAACACCCTTCTCATCTAATATGGAAAAAACACAGCGAGGGAACCGGCTGTTAATCTAAATAGAAATAAATAAAGAAAGATATAGTGTAATACAGTTTACAATATGAACACTGCGCAATATGAAATGCACTCACAGGATTGTGGACAGATTCAAGCTTGTAAGGTGCCTCCCCCGAAAATATGGGGGGCTTAGGGAAATCCCCTGGATACTCTCTGTCCAATACAGGACTCCGGGTGAAGTTTGAAAAAGCAGCTTTAATTCAATATTAAAAAATATAAAGATAAAATAAATATAAATAAGGTCCTACGCGTTTCGTCCCTTTAACAAAATAGGGACTTCCTCAGGGACCACAAATATTAAAATACAATTTGATGAGGCGAAGCTAAGCTGTTGAAGCGACTGGCCGCATGTCTCCGAAGCTCCGAGCTTTATGCCACAAAAAGCCTTTTTCTTGCTACCAGCACTGCCACTAATTCGACCCGAAGGTCGGTACCCGCCTGCCCAAACACTATGGGGCGCAAATCTAAAAAGCCCAAATCAGACAAGCCGACCATGGGAAGGAATATCGGGGAAATGTGGAAGCAGGCACAGGGCACATACGGGCCTAACATGGCCGCCCTCACTGGCAGCTGCTCAGATTTCTCTGACGAACTCTCCACAGACGGGGAGGATGAAATCTTACCGGCACTCCCAAAGTCAAAACCGGGCTCGACAACACCAGATACAGCCCCGGTCACCACGGCCGTCCTAAAGGAACTCCTGGACGATCTGAAAACCACGCTCCAGGCAGACATAGCCACGATCAGAGGGGGCCTGCAGGGCCTAACAAGCCGCATCGGAGTGCTAGAAGAAGCATCACACACAAGCTCACAGCGCTTGGATACCCTACAACAAGAGGTCAGAGACCTAAAACAACAAACCCAAGTATATGACCGCCGCCTCGCGGCACAGGAAGATGCCAGACGCCGAAATAATCTAAAAATTAGAGGGATCTCGGAGGAAGTGCCGGACGCAGAACTACCGCACCTAATGAGAAGGCTAACGGCTGCTTTACTCCCACAGCGGCAGGCCAAAGCTATGAACCTGGAGGGTCTATTCCGCATCCCCAAACCGGCTAAGGCACCAGTGACGGCCCCACGGGACCTAGTGGTCCAATTCAAGTCCGGAACAGACAAAGCTGCAGTCCTCACAGCACTCAAGGGAGCGTCCACTTATCAGATGGAAGGCATGACACTGGCCTTCTACCAGGACCTTTCTAGCAGCACGCTGGCATGGCGGAGGTCCCTCAGGCCTCTCACCTCCCTTTTACAGCAGAAGAACATACGCTACCGTTGGCGCATGTCTCACACGCTAATGGTGACACACGGAGACTCCACGCACCTCCTACAGGACTTACAAGAGGCAGCAACACTACTACAAGCCCTGGGTCTACCGCAGGACAGTCTGGCCAGTAAAGACCCCACTACCGCCTCCAAACCTCCACGCACCTGGAACCCAGCGGCGATTACCCCGTTCATCCCACGAGGAGCTGAGACTGGATCATACGTGGCAGCCACATCCTGAGGACATTACCACTTTCAGTCCTATCTAGTTGTGATATGTTTAACCGTGTAACTGTTTTAATTTTTCAACGCTTTGTTTTACAAGCTGCTGGTTCCCATGTAATACAACGCACAGCTTACACTCATGACCCCGGATGGCACAATAGGGCAAACATGCTCCAGTGAATTTATAACCCTAACTTAGCTTACCCAAGGATCACAGGGGGGACATCACAAGCAGTTATCCAACTATACACTATCTGCACCCACAGTTTATAAAGCTCAAACCAAAGCATGTTGTATTTCTACTATTATACTTGTATTAACCTATTATCAGGCTAGAAAACACAGCCCCACGTAACAAAGAATGAAAGCACAGCCTAGACCTTGATCACTAGCCTACTGAATACTTCATTATTAGGAAAAAAGGGGAGGGGAAGAAAAAAAAAAAAAAAGAAAGATGTGCAATGTAAACTTGAACACACTAACTAACCCACTGTAATTATTCAGCCTTAGCTCTCAACACTAGCTTAACCATGTACCAAACCGGTAGCAAAGCACACCTTTTTTTCATATGCTGTAGAGCTATGTGTAACAACGTTGACATGAACCATAACTCAACCTACATAACCCACCATAGCAGCTTCAGACTTAGCCTGTTCTTATACTCATGTATTAACTAAAAAATGTGCAACGTTAAAATTTACTTTCTAAAAGCAGTAACCTAGTTTGTTTACCTTAGTTATGCTTTTTTTTTAACCCACACAAGTAAGATAAGCCTTAATTAAGCTAGTGACCCTCCACTCTTACAAACAGTCAGTTCGTTAATCTAAATCAGTATTTAGTCTGCCTTATCTTATAACTGACATGCCGATCCAATTCTTGATATATCTACATTATAACATAAAATGTGCAATGTTTTGAAATGCCAACAAAAGTCTCTTGATGTTGACCTAAAAGCTGGCAATAGCTGTTGTGGCATTGCCTGCCTCTTTGTATTCTTTGTGCACGATAAAATAAAGAATTATAAAAAAAAATAAAAAAATATACAATTTGATACAATACAATCCAAAAAAAGCAGCCTAACAAACCCCCACCCGAAAGTCCTTTAAATAGGGCTAATCCCTCGATATAATTGAGTCACATGTATTCCTTAATCTCTCCTCATTGGTCCTGGGTTAGTGAAAATCATCTGTTGCCGATCGAACCTCCGAGCATTCACAGCTGACTTCAGACTCGAACAATCCTCCATCAATCCCCGGCACGGAAGTGCCGCGCGTTCCCACTATGATGACGAAACCGGAAGTGGTATGCGTTCCAACCTCGTTTTTATGCGTTCCATTGGTAATCTGTAATGTCTGGATATAAAAATGCATATAAATACTTCCACTCCACAACTCCACTATCACTAACAATAAATTACCCATGTAATTCATACAGGAATTGTTTTATTATACACCACATAGATTCCTCCCAATCACTGTATTTAATCCACTATCAATATACCATATTAATTAATGTATTTTTATACTATTATATAAATCTTCCCCTATTTTTAGTGAAATTATAATTTATGTATATAATTTAAATTTATAATAAATTTCAATAAATTTATCAATAGCTACATATTGTGTCCATCAATTATTCAATTACTTATTATATATGTTTTTTTTCTTTTCTTTTTTTTATATATTAATGTATTCAAATTATTTTATATTAATAGTGAATTTCAATCATAAAAAACACACTAAATTCACTTCTACATTCAATTCCCCTGGTTCCAATGTCTGTAATCTATGGATCCAGTAAGTCTCACGTTGTGATAATTTTTTTACTCTATCCCCCCCTCTCCAATCAGTTATTACCCTTTCAATACCAGTGCACTTAAAACTTTTAAAAGAAAATAGTGGACAGTGATTACAGTGAACTGGAATGGAGTGGGTGGCCAAATTCTTTTTAATATTATTAATGTGTTCCATAAACCGGACTTTCAAGAGTCTCTTAGTTCTACCAACATATTGTTTACCGCACGGACATTGCAGTAAATAAACTACATAGTCCGTGCGGCAATGTATCTCGGTCTTATTATGGAATACCTCCCCTGTTATAAAACTAGAAAATATATCTGAACAGAAATATATCTGAACAGATATATTTTCTAGTTTTATAACAGGGGAGGTATTCCATATTAAGACCGAGATACATTGCCGCACGGACTATGTAGTTTATTTACTGCAATGTCCGTGCGGTAAACAATATGTTGGTAGAACTAAGAGACTCTTGAAAGTCCGGTTTATGGAACACATTAATAATATTAAAAAGAATTTGGCCACCCACTCCATTCCAGTTCACTGTAATCACTGTCCACTATTTTCTTTTAAAAGTTTTAAGTGCACTGGTATTGAAAGGGTAATAACTGATTGGAGAGGGGGGGATAGAGTAAAAAAATTATCACAACGTGAGACTTACTGGATCCATAGATTACAGACATTGGAACCAGGGGGATTGAATGTAGAAGTGGATTTAGTGTGTTTTTTATGATTGAAATTCACTATTAATATAAAATAATTTGAATACATTATTATATAAAAAAAACAAAAAAAAAAACATATATAATAAGTAATTAAATAATTGATGGACACAATATGTAGCTATTGATAAATTTATTGAAATTCATTATAAATTTAAATTATATACATAAATTATAATTTCACTAAAAATAGGGGAAGATTTATATTATAGCATAAAAATACATTAATTAATATGGTATATTGATAGTGGATTAAATACAGTGATTGGGAGGAATCTATGTGGTGTATAATAAAACAATTCCTGTATGAATTACATGGGTAATTTATTGTTAGTGATAGTGGAGTTGTGGAGTGGAAGTATTTATATGCATTTTTATGGCCAGACATTACAGATTACCAATGGAACGCATAAAAACGAGGTTGGAACGCATACCACTTCCGGTTTCGTCATCATAGTGGGAATGCGCGGCACTTCCGTGCCGGGGATTGATGGAGGATTGTTCGAGTCTGAAGTCAGCTGTGAATGCTCGGAGGTTCGATCGGCAACAGATGATTTTCATTAACCCAGGACCAATGAGGAGAGATTAAGGAATACATGTGACTCAATTATATCGAGGGATTAGCCCTATTTAAAGGACTTTCGGGTGGGGGTTTGTTAGGCTGCTTTTTTTGGATTGTATTGTATCAAATTGTATTTTAATATTTGTGGTCCCTGAGGAAGTCCCTATTTTGTTAAAGGGACGAAACGCGTAGGACCTTATTTATATTTATTTTATCTTTATATTTTTTAATATTGAATTAAAGCTGCTTTTTCAAACTTCACCCGGAGTCCTGTATTGGACAGAGAGTATCCAGGGGATTTCCCTAAGCCCCCCATATTTTCGGGGGAGGCACCTTACAAGCTTGAATCTAACCACAATCCTGTGAGTGCATTTCATATTGCGCAGTGTTCATATTGTAAACTGTATTACACTATATCTTTCTTTCTTTATTTCTATTTAGATTAACAGCCGGTTCCCTCGCTGTGTTTTTTCCATATTTTGTTGTCAAGCTGATCGCTAGCTGGGAGCGATCAGAGGGAGGCTGTATTCATCTACCTTCTCATCTAATCCCTGTTGATCCAGTGGAGGTATGATTCTGGGGTGCTCCTGGCCTTATATTTGGGGGAGAATGTTGTCGCATGCTCTGCAAGTCTTGCACTCATTGATTGGTTAGAGTTTTGCCATGATAACACGGCTGCTCTTACTCTTTCTCTGAGCTCTGGGATCACAATGGAGCTCTTACCAAGAGCAACCTTGCAAACTTTGAGTTACTTAATACATTGCCACATGATGACACCACTGGTGACCCGATCATTATAGAAAAGGTACCAACCTTCTTGGCTCAGCTCTCCCTAAAATGTCTGAATGGAGCTCAGAGGGAGATCAAATGACTACAGTCACAGAGGAGGTGGTCACGCTTGCTATCTCTTCTATGAAGCCGTCCAGGGCTCTTGGACCTGATGGATTCACGATGGCGTACTATAAGACCTTCTCTCAGAAACTAACTCACAGCTCTGTTCCAATTGATTTCCTAGATGACTCCCTCCTGGCCAACATTATACTTTTTAACAAGCCGGGCAAACCTCATAAATCTCCCGGCAGCTATTGACCTATATTCCTGATCAATACAGATGCCAAGATATTTGCTAAACTTCTGTACCTATGCCTTTACCCAGTACTGTCTTGTTTGATCCATCTGGGCCAGGTGGTGTTTATCCGGGGTTGACAGGCGTATGAGACACCAGGCAAGAGAGAGAAAGATTGAGATATTTATGGTGATCTCTTTTGCTAGTCTATAGGCTAGAGCAGCCCTAACCACGGGTGATTTTTTAGGTACATCCAGATCCGCTCACAAAACTGATATTCATGCCGCAGTAAACAGGGATTTTAACTTATTTTGAGATGATATGCTTATGGAACACTTTAGATAATGGCCTCCAACTGGGTCTCTACCTCTCCCCACCCATTAGAGGAAAAGGATAGGAAGAAAAGTAGGGAAAAGAAGATGTCTCTAATTGTTTATAATTGTGGGTACACTTGATTGGCAACTGAAATAGAACCTTGCTTTAATCCCGTCTATTGTCAAGTAGTACCTAGCTTTCCTTATGTATTGTATAAAAATGACAGCAGAAGCATATTATGACTATGTAGAAGCATATTATGGCGCTTGTTGTGTTCCTTTAAATATATAAATATCAAATAACAGGTCTTGTTTAGTTATTAAAAACACTTTTAAAGCCATGGTCTTTGATTTAAAGAAATGATTTTTATTAACACGTATAATTTGGCACAGTGCATGGCTGGCATATCATGCTTTAAATCTAGGCTATATACATGTACAAATATGCAAACGGCTGTGCAGAGAGAAAGGGAGCAATGTGACCGCTAAGCGCACCATAACTGCTCTCTTTCTCAGATTGTCACAGATTGATTATGCTCCGCTCTAAAGGCAAGTGTCTCATCCCACGGTGGTTATAATACAGCGACCACACAATCTGAAGCTAGTCCAGTCACTCAAACTACAAGGTATCAGTGATGTCTTAGGCATGATATTAAACGATTGCTGGTGCAATATACGATAATCAGTGAGTATACGTATATACAGTCATGTACACAAACATATATATGTACAATCAAAGTGGTTTAAAAATACCCCTTTTATAAACACATTAAAGATACAGAACATGATTTGTACTGAGATATTAGGATCAAAGTTAATTGGTTCCAAACAGTAGGAAAGCCAAATATTTGTAGGGTTCTGAAGCCAGGCAGATTTAAGATTAGCCAGTTTGAAGTTTGAAGTTTGAAGTTTTTTGTTGTTTTTTTTTTTTTAGATTGCACTGTGGAACCTAGTGTGGCATTCTGTGTTAACCTTACAGCAGAGTATCTTAACGTTGTTGCCACCAGAAAATCTTAACCCCTTAAGGACACATGACATGTGTGACATGTCATGATTCCCTTTTATTCCAGAAGTTTGGTCCTTAAGGGGTTAATGCTGGCAGCCTGTGCCAAATGTATGACGGACTAATTCCAATAGTATATGTTTTCAGATATGGCGATCCAGACGTTTCACTTGTTTAAAAAAAAGACCTTTACGAAAGTCTTGAGCTCTGCACTGCTGCACAGTCTTGAAAGTCTTCTGAACAGAGTTGAAACAACAACAAAAAAATATCCAACATTTTAATTCTTCAGCACTTTAGAGTCAGATAGTTCATTAAACATTTGTCCTGAAGAAATGAGTTTCAAAGTATTGTGTTACCTGGCAGTAATTTTAAAATAAAAACACATTTAAAAAAAAAAACAGTTTTCAATCCTGAAGAAAACACAAATTTTTCTCAAATTTTGGAAAAGCAGCATTTTTAGAGGCGATAACCAGATTTGTTGAGTTTTTTCCGTTTCTATCTATGGCTTGGGGGCGGACATTTTGTAGGTCTGTAGTAGACGTCCTACCTGCCTGCAGTGACTTCCACTGTACAAATGAGTTGAAGAGGTGAGCGAACTATACAAATTTAATTCACGTATAACCGAATAAAAAATCCTTTTACATTTCTGTACATTTGAAAAAGGGGCACATATGTATCCAACTGGAGTACACTCACACACTTTAGACATTTCTGTGGATAAAGAAGTCCATATGTTGACCTCGGCATAAAAGTAATAAAATGCTAAGTAACAGTGTATTATTATGTCTTGAACATGTTACAGCAAGAATGATTTAACAATTTATAGAATAACATTGCATACGATTTTGTTTGGACAGATCAATACGACTTGAATCACCTTGATCCCTCTTGATGTAAGATCATTTTATACTGCGTGAGTCTTTACAACCCTCATGGATAACTCTCAAACTTGAGTGATTACAGGTGTTAGTGGGCAATTGGAACATCAGAACTTTTTTTTTTATTATTCCTCTCAAGGCATTTAAAAGGCAAAGTCACTCACACTTTTCAAAGACAAACTGGTCAGGATATTCTCAAGAAGACGTGTGCAGTTTTAGCAATGTAAATCTAAGTGTTTCCTAGAAATCCTGCCCTATTTTTGCATTCTGTTCCTTTTTCTGCAGAGTGGAAAAAGTGGTGAAGCTCCCTGCAGAAACTAACATGTTAAAGGAACACTCTAGATACCATAACCACTACAGCCAGGCGTTTCCTGGTGCCCCCCTTGTAAGTAGTCAAACTGTTTTTGCATATTTTAACAACCTACTTGGAGTGTGTCAGACGCCGCTCCCTGCCTCCACGAATGGTACCATAATCACTATAGTGAGCTGCAGGGCCGGATTAACATAGCTTCATGCTCATAAAATAAGCTCAATGATTAAAAGATTAAACTTTTTTTTTTTTTTGCTACTCTTCACATGCTCTTGCTTTCTGCACATGGAATTAAGTATGGGTACTTAGGAGGGATGTAGGGGAACAAAACTTGTGTGAACTGGCTGACTATGAATCAGTTATGTAAAGCTGTCTTTGCTCTGCTTTTCGTCTTCCTGTTTCAGTGTTTTCTGTCGATAAGATTCTGTAATTAGGCCTATTGTCAGCACCAAGGCCAATGGGCTCTTAGTCTGGCCCTGGTTAGCTGTAGTGGTTATGGTGCTTGGACTGTGTCTTTAAAGTTTCATGCACATATGCACTTTTCAGCCAATAGTATACTCTTTCTATATTTGTCTGGGCATGTTTGGGAGCTCACATGCCCAATAGGAAACCATAGATTGTTTGCAACTGATTGATAATGATTGATGACTTTAAGCCAGAATCATGAGACAGTTTTCAAAGCTAACACAATTCAAAATTCACGGACCATTTTACTGTGCGTAATCCTGTCGAATTTCAATAAACAATATCAACTTAACCGGACCTAACTTGTAATTTCATCATTAATCTTGCTATGTCAAGCTCAACAGGACAATATTGCAAGGTTAACAGCAAAACAAAAAAAAATGTTAAAAACTGCTGTCCTTGTAGACTTTTTGAAGGTTATAGCTAGCCAAGTGCAATGATGATGCTAATAAGTGCATATTTAACCTATGATGATCAAAATAAACATTGTAGTGTGTTTAAGGTACCTCTACGTAGATATTCCAGATATTGTGCACACCTATAACTGTTAAATAATCTCATATTTTGTTACATTATATTACAGTTACAGTGTGTACTGCCCTTTAATTGGTAAGACTTATTGATAAGGAATTGTTACAGTTGTTTGCAAAACAAAACGGGGAAGTTTTTGCGATGTTGATTCTGCTCATGTGCATGCTCGATTAACTAACATATTTTTAGTGAGTCTGATGGTTCTGTTAAGGTGTTGATAAATCTTCTTTGAAATCCCAAATCTAGAGTGTTTATTGTAGGATATAGGTCCCTTTTTTACACATATGAAAGAATTACGATGTAAAAAAATGTGTTAAAGTGGTAGGATTATGTTTGCGTCGACAACGTTAATGGTTCATCAGCATCCGCTAGTGTGCTGATAATTTGTAGAATGTGAGATTGTACCTCTTGGATTCTTACATAGTTTATTGCATGGCCTGAAAGCCACGGCAAGTGTTATTGTAAGAGGATGCTGCATGTCCTGTTTTTGTAGTACTGGCCTTCATTTTTGGTTCCATCATTTTAGTATTACAGATAAGTTTTGAAATCCCTGCCGGATAGTTAACAAACGTTTGCTTATCATAGTAATCTTTTAATATATACCTCTAGCCTATTTTGTTGTGTACTTCTATGATTTGTAAATATCATATTATTATTATTATTATTATTTATATAGCGCAAACATACAACGCAGCGCTTTTTCCATTTCTACATAAGTGCATAATGTGTTATGTAGTACAGATAAAAATTCTGGTTTAAATGAGACGTGAGGGAAAAAAAACAAAAAAAACACAAAAAAATAAATGTTTTTAATCTAATCATATTAATGCATGACTTCTAATATATATATCTTTTTTTTTTAACTGTGTCTCTAAATGCACAATGCCATGTTTAGGGACACTAGATCCGCTGATAATCAGCTAATGAAAAATACATACTTCAAAATCTGAATTGTGCGTTTTTAGAGCTGACCCTGTATAGAGGTCATGATCTGACAAGCCGTAGCTGCATAGTATGGATTATAAAAAATGTATATATCATATCTTAGGATAATTTAACTTTGGATTTTCTAACATATTTTCTTTTTCCCAACACTGCAGAACATAAAAAGCAATCTGAAATCACTCAAAATAATTTACATCTTGAATTTGTCCTATAGTACTCTATGATCATGATTTGTGATATTGTAAATGGGAAACGTTTTATTC